CGGCAGAGGTGGTGAGTCTCCCACCCCACTGCTGAGAGAAGGGGCTCCCCGGAAGCCAGGGCTTCTCCCCAGGGCAAGCCCAGGGCCGCGGGGTCCCGGTGAGGGCCCGAGGAGACGCCTCCCAGAGCCTGCTCCGGGGAGTTCACCCAGTGCCGGGTAGCCAGGAGGGCTTCAGGGCTCAACTCCCTTTTTCCGCAAACAGACCTTGTTTTCTTAAAAATTAGTATTTTTTTGGTACCGGGAATTGAACTTGGGTCCTTGCGCTTGCACAGCAGGCGGCGAAACCACTGAGCTAAATGCCCGTCCCGCCTCCCGAATTATTTCTGAGACAGGGTCTTGCTAATTTTCCCAGCCTGCCTTGGCCTCCCACGTAGCTGGGCTTACGTAGCTGTCACTATGTGCAGCGCGAACTTACTCTTAAACCGTGTTTCTCGTAAAAACATTTTATGCCGCCCCCCAAAAAATGATTTTAGGGGCTGGGAGTGTAGCTCGGTGGGAGAGCACTTGCCTAGCATGTGTGAGGCCTTGGGTTTGATACCCAGCACTGTAAAAAAAAAAAAAAGAAGGCTAATTATACCGTGCTAAGAACATCTCCTAGTAAGGAATGAGTAAGAATGCTTTTCTCAAAAGAGGAAAAATAAAGAGCAGGTTCAATTCCTGAGTCCTGCCGCCTGCGGGAACGCAACCCTGGCCCGGGCGGGCCCACCTGTGCTCCCAGGACCCTCCCGCTGCCCAGCGAGGCGGGGCGCAGGGGCAGCGGCGCAGGCAGCGCCCAGGCCCCGCTCAGCGCTGTCGGCCGCGGCTTTATCCGCCAGGGCTGGGCTCTGGGGCAGGCGGAGCGCAGGGAGACGCCCGGCCCAAGTGTTTCTGGGGTCTGGGCCGGAGCTCGGGCGGCCCCGCCGGTGCAGCGCGCGTGTCCTGGGTTCGAGCCCCAGCGCCGCGGAACCCTGCCCGACCCCGAGGGACCGCGCGTAACCCGCGGGCCGCCACGCCAGGGCTTGAAAGCGGCCCGTCCGCAGCCGCTGCTCCTCTAGCAGGTCGGGCTGCGGAGCCGGTCCAGGGCGTTCATCAGAGTCGGCGCTCAGGCCCACTCCCCGCACGGAGACCCCGGGGGCCGCCGAGGGCCAGGGCGGAAAGGCGGGAATCCACGGGCCCAACACGGGAGCTTCGCTCAGGACAGTGAGGCGTCGTCACCGTTTTCATTTCTGCAAAACAGAAACTCAGATCTGGGACGGTAGAGGCTGGGACGGCACCGCCGCAAGCACAGCCCCGACCCGCTCGGCCTCCAGGCCCCGGAGCGGCAGAGCGAGAGGCGGCAAAAGGCCAAGGACACGGGGTTTTCAGTGAGAAACCGAAGCAGGGCCGCTGCCCCCGAGGCCAGGGCACGGGCCAGGCGCAGCAGACTGGCGGGGGAGGGGGGGGGCAGGCGGGGCCTGCGAAAGCCCCGAGTGACGGCATCCCCCGGGGATCTGCACCGGACACAACCGAGCACTCTGGACTTCGGGTGTCTGAAAATCCTCCGCTCCAGGTAGGGCGCGGCGGCACACGCCTGTGATCCCGGCACTGGGAGGCTGAGGCAGGAGGATCACCAAAAATTGAGGCCAGCCTGGGCTGCAGAGCGACGCCCCGTCTGAAAAAAATCAAAAAGTAAAAGGTACACCGGTAGATCGTAGATCTACAGTGTGCCTCAGATACAGAATTCCTACACGCTTGCTCCCGGAGGACAGGGGGAGTTTCACTTTGATAGCCCCTGATGGGACCAACCCTTGTGCTTAGGAACCTAGTGGAACGGCAGACAAGGGCCTCACAGACAGGAGCCTGCGGGGTTTCTTTTTCTTCTTTTGGCTGAGGCAGGGTCTCACTACGCAGCCCAGGCTGGCCTCAAACTTGCAGCAATCTTCCTGCCAGTCTCCCAGGTGTGCGCCACCACGCTGGGTGCCCTCCAAACTTCTGTGATGCTCGCCACTGCCTCCACCCTCAGCAATTTGTGTTCACTGAAAACTTCCCATGGTGGCTTCATCTAGGCTTTCACAACATAGTAAGATTCTGACGGCAGGGTGGTTATTCCAAGGGGTTAAAAATTATTTTGCTAGGGCTCTAGGTTTAGAAATTGTTTCCCGAGGGTTATTCTTTAAGCAACGTGGCAGCAGTGGAAGCGCACACCCACAATCCCAGCACTCGGGGGGCTAAGGTAGGACGACTGTCCCAAGGTAGGACGAACTGTCCCAAGTTTGACGCCAGTCCAAAAGTCTCCAAAACAAGGCAATCCCCCTCACAGCCCCAGCGGAGAGGCCTCACCTCCACCGAGGCTCCGAGACTTCCAACCCCATCCCATCCCCAGCGAAATCTCCATTCCATGAATGACCTGGGACTTGTGGGGGGGGGGGGTGTCTTTCAACTCAGCTCCAGAAACTGAAATACTCTCCCCATCTCAGTGTTGTGAAGCTTTCAATTTGCTTACAGTAAACATGTATTTGTTTACAGTAAATGACCATTTCCTTTTTCCTAGCTGGTCCTGCTGTGTAGTTTAGGGTGTGGCCTTGAACTTGTGATGACCCTCCTGCCTCGCCTCCCCAGTGCTGGGATTACAGGCCAGTGCCACCTGGCCAGCAAATTGGGGGGGGGGCACCTCTTTTCTTTTTTGGTCCTGGGAATCAAACTCCGGCCCTTGTGCTTGCCAGGCAGGTGCTGCACTGCTGAGCTACATCTCTAGCCCTCTAAGACTTCTGTAGGAAAACAATTACATGATGTTCCGTCAGGTGAGGAAAACGTGGGGAGACTCCTCCTGGCTACTGCTGTATCCAGGTAACAGAGCACAGAGCACCATTATCAATGATCCACCTACTGCACTGGGAATGTGTGCTGCTGAGTGCATGAGTGACTACTACTCCAGGAGCAAAGCAAGTTTCAGCAGCACCTCAAGCCTCAACGGGGTACAGGCAAAGTCATTTTCAGGTGTCCAATGAGTCCTTGTGAAACAGACGAAAACAATCAGTGTGGACACGTAGAGTCTCACTCAACATTACCAGGTTGTTTAGATAAGAATATACGCCAGTTCTTCAGCTACTTCAATTATAAAAATCTGTCATGCTGTCAAAAAACAGAAAACCAGAAGCCAACAGTCTGGCCGAACAAAAATACACAACTGAAAAGATAACCAAGTAGGTCTGACAACTAAATCTTGTTCAAGTTTTTGAAAACAGCAGCTCATTTAGATGAAATAGTGAACCAGGAATGTTTATCACCCAAGACGCTTCCAGATTACTCTGGGACAGATCACTGTGGAAAGCCAATTCTAACAGGCCTGGAGCCTGGCTGTGTATATTCTGGAAAATCTCTACAATGTAACTCCTAATTAAAAAGCACTGTACCAAAATGAACAAGAGCTCTAATTATAAAAGGAAGAAGTTGGGGCCGGAGATTTATTAGCTCAGTGGTTTTGCCACCTGCCGCACAAGTGCAAGGACCCAAGTTCCATGCCTGGTACCAAAAAAATAATAAAAGTAAAAGCAGCAAGCAGATCTCCCATATGCTTGGGGGCAACCCACCGAATGCATCGGCAGGGCAATGATGCCATCAAGACTGCATGACTGCTGCTCAGTCTGTAAGACAACTGAAGCACATAACCAAATTTCTCCAATTCATAAAGCAACATTTTGCTTAACACAGAGGCCAGACCTGACCACAATAAACTGCATCAGAGATCCAACACTCGGAAGCACAAAGTGGTGCTTAGATGCTCCTGTAGCCACCGCAACCCAGGCAGGGACTCCTTTCCGCTCCACTCAGAGTGGGTAAGGCTGGGCCGACCACCAACATCTAATGTCAGTAAAGGCGTTAAACCTTCCCCACATCCATGCCTTTTATAAATCGTGAGTAAAATCACAAAAGGGACTCTGGTGAAAGCTGGTACTGAGTGAGTCTTAAGTCGCACAAGTCAGGACCACGAGGTTAACTTCATCTCAGGGTCTAAGTAATTCACCCATTTCCATGAGCAGTGTAAACCCGCACCATCTTACTTCACTAACTCCTTAGCTTCCCCCGCCTATTCCCAACAGGGTGCTTTGGACCCTAGGGAAATGGCAAAGGACAAAAGGTCCAAGTTGAGAGGTCCCAGCAAACCCACAGGACTTTCAAAAGCTAAATTTTCCTTGAAAATGTGCAATTGTAAAGACTCACACTGACCAACACCAACTCTCTTGGTGCGATCTGTGAAATGGTGAACAGGACAACTGCAAATATCTGTTCTGGGACATACAGTGTCTCCTATCTTTAGATCAATGTGATGACTCAGCTTTCATTTTAAAGACAGGCAACACAGCAGATCCAAACTACAGAGCACATTTAAGGAAACTAAGCCAGGAGGACTGTTGCATTATGATTTAATCTAAATGCACAAAAATGTGAAATTACAACTCTTCCAGACTTCTAAGAGGGTTATACACACCTCCATATGCAATTCTGCACTGTTACATTTGAACCAGTTATTGTGAAATTTTACATGAAGGATCAGTTTGGAATTCCCATGCAACATCTCACATTATAAAATGGAAGCAATTTTTTAAACTGGAGAATTTTCATGCTAAAGATGAAAGGCAATTTTTATGGGCAACGTCATGTGGGTTACAATGTACCAGAGGTTGCTGATTAAAATGTCAGTCACTTAAGTATGATGGATCCTGAAGTGGCTTCAATCCATAAAAACTATCTAACTACCATCATCGCTTAGCTAACCAAAACTTCCCTTCACGTTAGAAGACTAGTCCATAGTGCCTGACAGATGTGCTTCTTGTAAACTCAGGACGGACTGTGTAAGCAAGTGCTCTCCACGGGATAAGAACAATGCTAACAGTGGGCTCAACTGACTCACACAATTATGCTATTAATTCAAAAGCACTTTACAAGAAAATACAAGTATGGCTTCCAATAGGACTGTTATACCTGGACTGGATACCAAGCTTATGTATTTTGAGTTTGCAAGGAAAAACAGGCTTTCCAAGTTAAATAACAATTTGTAACCAAAACTTTAATCCCAAAGAGTCTCACAAAACATATTACAAATGACAGCATGAAAAAAAATCTTGCACAGTGAAGCAAAAGTTCAGCTCTACAATGTACCCTTAAACTGGCAGGACACTGGAATTTTGAAATCTCAGGTTTCAAATAAAGAATGTTACAAACAGCTATGTCTTCATATACAGCATCACATAAGGAACGTGTGACCTAAGCAAAGGTAAACTTTCTTCAAAGTTATCTGATTCTATACCACCAGGCAAACTCTGCCCAGGGTAAACACTAGTTCCATTTTTAAAAACTCTCTCACCTAGTTTCATGTTCAGCCTTTATTTTGACCTGCTAACATGGTCACAGCTGCTTTAAGACTGCATTTACCTACAGCTGCGCACTACTATCCCAGCTATGAAACAAGTCTTGGTCAGTTTTGTTTCTGTAACATTAGAACATCACACTTTAGCTGGGTAGAATTTAGAGGTTTATTTTCAGTCTGTGCAAAACTAAAATTCAAAGCAAATTTAATTTTGCTTAAGGGAACATTGTAAAGTAACAATTCGTGGTATTACATGCCTCATATGATCCATCTCAAACCATAGAGAATTACATCCTCATGTGTCACTGTTTCAAGAGACAAAGGTGAACAGCTAAAACATCTTAAAAATGCACCAAGCTTATGAAGTCTCAAACAAAACTTGAATTTTCTGTACATACTCCCGTCGAATGAAGTTAATTTCTGTACACCACTTCTCTTGCAAACTGGTCTTCTATTTCCTTTCATTTGACCTAGATCGGCTAACAAAACAAAAAACAAACCTTTGTTATTTGTAATTTGGGGCCACTCAATGACATCATCAGCAAAGTCATGGCTTAGAAGACAACATACACAGGTCTTAAAGAGCTCCGATCAGAGACCTTACCTGCGAGACCTAGAGAAGGACCGGGACGGCTTGTGATTTCTCTCCCTGGACAGGGATCTCTCTCTCCTCCTATCTCTAGAAAGAGACCTAGAGCAAAGAGAAAGAATGTCAAGACAACTCAGTTATTAGTCTTTGAAAACGCCAAAGCTGGCCATCCTGTAATTCAGCAGTGGCTTTATATACTTCACTACTGACTGCGGTTAATCACACCATTTAGCAAACAGCTCAGGAATATCTGTCACTGGAATTTCTGAGCAAGTGGCCCCAAAACTGTATTTACCTGCTCCGGCTGCGAGAAAAACTTCTCCTTCGTGGAGATCTAAAAGCAGAAACAAGAAAATTAGGCTAATCATCAATTAGCATTTATGGTGTGAGGCAATTCCCAACTTTTCAATCTCACTGTTGGGCCCAGTGAATGTGCCGAAGAACTGGCACCCATCGTCCAAAAATAAAAAAGAAAAGAAAAAAAGGGCACAGAAGGATTAAGGAACAAAAGCTCAAGTGAAAAGCAGGTATTCCAACCATGGATTCATTTTAACAAAGAATGCTTCACAGCAGATCTGTCCAATGCAAAACTCCATGTCAAACTTAACTGCACTACCCAAACACCACACCAAAATGTAGTCCCACAAGTAGTTCCAAAACAGTACCATAAACCGCTATTTGGAACCCATGCAAACCTGTAAGTCCCTAACGAGACTTAGGTACCAGGTGGATAGTGTGTAGGGGTCAATACTGATGCCATTTAGTGGTACATTAGAACTGTATTTGTGACCGTCCCATTTAAGAGTGTGTTTAGGCTTATCAAAATTACCTTAGCTTGGCCCACACTTCTCCCCCAAAATTTTGAAAACTGTTAGTAAAACCATTTAAAGGTGATAGGATTCGACAAATTTCTGGTAGGAAAAAAAGCTAAAATCTGTTAGAGATTAAAATTTTTAGTTTGGCATCTCACACATGCAAATAAGTGTCACTTGAAGATAGTTACATTATGAGTTCCCTATCACCCTTAAAAGTTTTTCAAGCAATATATATGTACGTTACCATTCAATTATGCACAGCCAGCCTTTGATCCAGAAAAAGAATTACTTTTAAGCCGCTTACTCCTTATTTTAACCAGCAGTAAACTGTATAAGCAGGAAAAACTTACTAGTTTTGGGTTTCAACAAGCTAGAAATGGTGAGGTGAGGCTGCCGGACTGACGGCCAGGAAGAATTTGCTGAAAAGGTTTTGCCAGATGTTGCGTTGGATTTAGTTGGTTGGCGAAGGGGGTGTTGTGGATTTTTCCTGCTTTTTTGTTAGCCGAAGGCTGCTGCTGTAGTTGTTGTGAAGACATTTGGTAAATAAACAGCTGAGCTGATTGGCCAGGAATGTGTGGGCGGTCGAGGTGGCTGCTGCCGATTTGGTTAAGGTTGGAGAGAAGGCTGAGAGAAAACAGCATGCTCGGGAACCAAAGGGCGGTGCAACCTGACGACTGGCCAGCCTGGGTCATGTGAAACGACACCAGCCAAGCTGAATGGGGCGCGCTGGTCACATGACGCTGAAAGGGCTAGTTGACTGGCTAATGCAGATTCAGAGGGTGGTGAGAAGAGACATGATGGTGACTCTGTAACGGGGTTCATTTTTATTAATAGATGGACCAAAAAGCACAAAAAAAAAATGAAAAAAAAAAAACAAGCCATCAGTACAACCATCTATTTAGCTAACAAATACTCTTTATTATGATGGGCAACAGTGTGTTGTTTTTCAAAACAGCAAAACGGGCAAGATTTTGAACTCATCTCCTAGGACTTTACCCACCTATAAGAGGTAAATTTAGTCCTACAGAAACTATTTGAGGGTTTGAGGAGATGTGGAGTTAGCACCCAGACAAGACTGCCTGGTCCAAGAATGATGTCACTTTCAATTACAAAAAAAACTGAATTCTCTCCTATTTGGGATTGAAGAACAGATGACTGGGGTACTTCTTTTCTTAGCCCCCTTTATTGGTCAGTGACTTTAGTCTCAGAATTTCTATTTTACCAGTTGTAACATTAAAACAGCTGCCAGTTGATAAATATTACAATTGTGCTAGTAGAAAACAATATTTTTTTTGTGAAGAGCTAGAGTTGAATGTAATGTTTGTCATAATGGAGTCAAGAAATGAAAAAGGCCTAAACTGAAGTATAAGGGAAGATGGGGAAAGATGCAACTAGAAGATGAACTAGAAGATAGATCCAAGACAGAAGTTACTAACTACCAACATGAACAGTGACCTACAGACAAAAGCCAACACTCAGCACAACTCACATACCCCCAACTATGCCCAGCCAGTTTTGTAGAAACCTCTGATTCTTCAAAGTTTAAAACCCACCAACGAACTTTAGGAGAAACACCTGCTCCTACTAGCTACTCCATTACAGCAATACCTCTAAAACACGCTCTCTCTCAAGTACCTGCGGCGAGGGGGAGGACTCCTCCTACGATAATCATCTCGAGGGCGACGACCCCAAGAAGGAGGAGGGCCACGATTTCGACTTCTTTTTTCACCATTGGACAGTTCCACTCTGACTCGGCAGCCGCATAATGTTCTATGGGGGGGAGAGGCATTACATTTAAAACAGACAAGTTTCCTGAGATGTACATGAAAGCAAAAAAGTAAACTGATAGCCACTTTGCAAAGAACACAACTATATGTCTGCAGAACTTTTAATACAAATTTTAATTCCCTTGCATTTCTGATATGTAAAATAGTACAGCAATGACCCCCAGGTTAAGTCAAATTAAATACATCAAAAGGGCCAGGGATTTAGCTCAGTGGTTCCACTGCCTGCTTCACAAGAGCAATGATGCGAGTTCAATCCCCAGTATGAAAAAAAAGTGGTTTAAAAAAAGGTGTTTTTTTCCTTTAGTACCAGGGATCAAACTCAGAATCTTGCACTTGCAAGGCATGTGCAGCACCACTGCCCTTAAATATATCAAGTGGTGTTTTTATAAAAGCACGAATTTACAAGAAATCCACTTCTATTTCCTTACTTAGAACAATCCAACTATTGAGTTCAATGTTAATTTCCTAGTAGTTGTATTTGAATTATGAAGACCCCTGTAATTTTTTTTGGTACCGGGGATCGAACTTGGGACTTCACACTTTCGAAGCAGGCGGTGGCACCACTGAACTAAATCCCAGGGTTCCGGATTTATTTTTGAAGAACAAATTCTCCTGTAGCTCCATTATGAGTTTTTCCCTTAGAGGCAGGTCCCGACATTTATTTGCTACTTCTGCTTAATTTATGAGTTGTTTCCAACAACCCAGGACCTTCTGCCCATTTACATTACCTCTCCCCTCAATAATCACTGCAGTTTTGGTGTACAGAAAATTGTAGGCAGACATAGGCCTCCCCTGCCTTCGCCCACAACCATGTTTAGATGAGCCTCCAGAACCAGGGAAAAGGCAGGACCCCGCCCGCAAACTAGCTGCAACCTGTCTGTTCAAACAGCCTTTCATGCAGCTTTAGGAGGAGCTAACCATTCCTTGTACAGGCAAGGAGAAAAGGGCTTCACTCAAGGCACTGTGACTTATTTCACAAATTCTGAAGGAGAATTTTTTGGACCTTCTGAGTTAAGAATTTTCCTTGATTTCATAACTCAGTAATTTTCAAAGCCAGGAAGAGGTAGAGAAAGTCAAAATCTGGTACCTTTTCTTGGTACTCTTAAGGCTCAGGTATTACTTATTAGCCAACTAGTGACAGTGATAGGATAATAGCCAATTCACACTTCCTAGATAAAATATTTCCAACAATTAAAAGACAACAGCAAGTAAGCCAATACAAACTCTCATTCTATAAACAATTTAAAGCAATTAGCAGCTCAAACCTTAATGAAATTTTTTTTGGTTTTTGAGACAGGGTCTCCCTATATAGTTTGGCTAGGTTTAAACTTGGAGCGTTCCTCCTGTCTCAGCCTCTCAAGTGCTAGGATTACAGCCAGGCACCACCACACCCAGCTATCTCCGTGATTTCTAAAAACTTTAGAGATGGCTCTAAGTTGTTAACTTAAAAAATTTCAGTATTTAAAAAAGGCAGGCCAGGTAAAGTGGTGCACGTCTGCAATCCCAGCACTTGGGAGGCTGAGGCAGGAGGATAATGAGTTCTAGGCTGGCCTGGGCTATATAGTAAGACCATGTCTCAGAGGGACAAAGAAAAGGGCAAAACATTTATTGCTAGTACACATTAGTTATTAAATTACCTTCCATCTAGCTCTCGGACAGCATCAGCTGCATCTCGGGGATCCTCAAATTCAACAAAAGCAAAGCCGGGAGGGTTTCTAGCAACCCACACACTTCGTAGTGGTCCATAATAGCCGAAAGCCCGTTCCAGCTCAGTCTTGTTGCCATTGTTGCCAAGATTCCCTACATAAACCTTACAGTCCAATGGGCAGGAATCACGATGCATCTCTGTAACAAAAGATACCAAAATATTCATCCAAATAGTGCACAGTTAAAAGCAAATCCTAGGAAATAATTATAAAATGCTAAATAACAAATCAGAAATACTTTTTTTTTTGAGAGACAGGGTCTCACTTTGCAGTTCAGGGCGGCCCTGAACTCACTATGTAGCCCAGGCTGACCTTGAACTAGGGGCAATTCTCCTGCCTCAGCCTCCGGAGTGCTGGGATTACAGGCGTGCATCACGACAGTACTACTCTTGAAACATCCATTTCCTATTTTTACTACAAGTCCCAGAAAACCAGCAAGTTGAGGAAATAATATCCTCAAAATAAAACACTTATAAATTAGGAAAGCCTCGGGAGCAGGGAATCAAAAACCAAACGATGCAATGCTAAAAACAGGAAAGCTAATACTGTATTTTTTAAGTACATAAAATGGGTGTGGCTGGATCCCTAGGTTAATGTCAAACTAAATTCACCAACCAAATGGAATGTTAGCCTCTTTTCCAACCCTTGCCAGCAGGGGTGAAACAAAACATTTTGGCCATTTTACATTATCGTCTATCAGCTTGTTAATAACAACAAGCTGGGAGTGGTGGTGCACGGCCTGTAATGCCAGCGCTCCGGAGGCAGAGGCATGAGGATTGCTTCGGGTTTCAGGCCAGCCTGGAGTACCTATAATAGAGTTCATTGCCAGCCTAAACTACAAAGCAAGACCCTGTCTCAAAAAACAAATGAAAAAACAACAAAATCACCACCCAGCTGGGTATGGGAGAAAAACGACTCCTGTATAGCCATGAAATTGAGATAAGCCACTCTTTGGATCAGGTGATACAGAAGCGCCCTTTGTAAGGCAAAACTTATTCAGATTTAATAGAATAAGGCTCCAAATTTTCACTTTAGGTTTCCCTGATAGAATGCCACAAAACTTGTTTTTCTACGTGACCAATGCCAATTACCATGTTACTAATCAGATCAAATTCTCAGGCAGTGAAAACTCACCAAACAGCAAAACCATGTCAAATTTTTTTAAAATGGAAGCTCGAAATGAGCGGCAGAGCATTTGCAGAGCACGCCCAAAGCCCTGGGTTCAGTTACCAGCACAGCACCCCCAACCCTAAGTAAGCAAGGTAAGGGCAGCACTACTCAATAATACCCAAAAGTTGTTAACCAAATGCCCATCAACACATAAAATGGATTAGAAAAATGTGCTGCCAAATATTCAAAGCAGGAAAACCTTGAAATTAGGCTAAACCAGGAAGAAAAGTGCACACATTATGTAATTCCACGCATACAAAATATCCACAATAAGTAAATCCAAAGACTCAAAAGATTATGGTTGCCAGAAACTGGGAGAAGCTAGGGGAACCAGGAGTGACTGCTTATGGGCACAATTTCCTCACCATGAAAATGAACTAGAAGTGATGGCTGCACAAAACTGAGAACAAATACTATTGAGCTGTACACCTAAAAATCCAAATTAAAAAACACCTATGCATTATACAACAATTTACTGCATTTTGGGCTCTTAAATTTGACAGACTTCAATACTCAAATCATTTGGGAGGCTGAGGCAGGAGGATTGCCACGAGTTCGAGGCCAGCCTGGGCTACAGAGCAAGACTGTCTTACATACAACAAAAACAACCTAAATGCTAAAGTCACTTTGGCAATGAATCCAATTAAGTCGTCCACTGATGTACGTAAAAAAAAAAAAACCCAACCTACTCAGTAACCTTCTCGTACACACTACGTTATTCTTTCACACTCGGCTGGTCTAGTTAAAAACCCAGTCCAGACAAATCCTATTTACGGTGACATCTTGGGCCGAATCACGTAAAAACAGGATTGAAAACACAAAAAGCAGCTCTGAGACCAGGGTAACTCACTTTCAGACCGTTTACACTGAAGAAAAAAGGTGGAGACTATCAGTGCAAAAAAGATCAAGCATGGAAATAGAGACGAATGCCCTTCAGAACGGACTGAACTGGCCAGTCTTCATTAGTGACTTAAAAGAAAAATCTTGAGAAGCACTTCCGAAAAAGCGAGCCCAAAAACAAAAAAAGGCGCCATAAAATTCAAGGGCCGAAGCCTTGACTACCCTCCACCTATGGATCCTTTTTTCCTCCCCAAACTCGGATGACCCCTCACCCGGGCTCACTCCTAAATTCAGGGGGAAACAACACCCCCACTCCCAACCAGGAGCCCCCGCCACCGCCCCGTGCTGAACGCCACAAAATGGCGGCGGCGCCTCTTTGTCTCAATCTGGCGCCGCCATGAAACCCGGCCCCGCCTCGGTTCCTGTTCAACTCCACTTCCCTCCTGTTGTCGCTGGGATCTTACCGAGGTCTGGTGTTAGAAGTGCGGAGACTCAAATCCAAACAGCTCAACGGTCCTCCGGCACCCCTCCGACTCAGACCCCACGGAATCTCTCGCTAACCCGGCGTCCACGAAATGGCGGACCAGCGACGGCTCCTCGCCCTTATTTATAGGCCATAAGGGATACACGGCGTGGTAAGGCATGTCCAATGAGAGGCGGCAGAGGCCGTGACGTGAGGCTACGAACGCGGGGAGGTGCGCTCGTGTCGTTTCGTCAGGTGGGCGGGGCCTAGAAGTGGCGCGCGCCAATCGCCCGGCTTCCGTGATATCCGGCGGGCGTGGTCGGCCTCTAGTCTCCGCAGGCCTCCTCCTCCTCTGCAGTTGAAGAACAGCACCGTGGCCGTTGCTCGCAGACGTTGACCAGCACCCTTAGAGTACGGGCGGAGGCCACGACTTCCCGCGAGGGCTCAGCTCACAGCGCAGCTGAGCACGGCCGGAAACCGCGCATGTTCCCGCTTTGCCGCCTCGCCCGAGCTTCGGCCTGGCCCAGGCGACTCGAGGCCGCTCACGGCCACCTTGGCCGGAAGCAAGAACGGGAAGCTGCTGAAGAAGATGGAGCTTCGATTCAAGCGTAGCCCAAGAGGGGTCCTCGCGCCTGTACGCTGTGTCACGTAGGCCACTGCCCCGGGACGACGGGGCTGACGCCGGGCTGGATGTGTGGTCTGGCTCCCGCCCCGGGCTTCTCCAGAATAGCGTCTCTCAGCCTAGTCTGATTCAGTGCAAAACGTAGTTGTATCTGCACCTGGAAAAAAGTAACGGGGTGTGGGCGCACACCTGTTATCCCAGCACCCCAGAGGCTGAGGCAGGAGGGTTGCCGAGAGTTTGAGGCCAGCCTGAGCTACATAGTGAGACTCTGTCTCTAAAACAAAACAAAAACGACAGAATGTGTAGTTCTTTACTCTCCCTTCCCTGAAGCTGAAAAGTTTATCTTGCGCAGATATTTTCTTTTGTGGCCCTGTAATGTCAGCACTCTGGAGGCTGAGCCAGGAGGCTCTCTGTAAGTCCAAGGCCAGCCTGGCCTACATAGTGAGACCCAGTCCCCAAAAAACACCAAAAACAAAAACCCAAACAAAATATTTGCATTCAGTGATTCAGAAATGACAGGCTAGCTCCCAGCTTCTCCCCAAAACTCCTTCCCTGCCCACCATGACACAGCCTGCCTGGCATATAGAGGACACTCATCAAATATCAGAAATGAGAAGTGGCTGGGCATGTTGGTGCCCATCTATAATCCCAGCACTTTAGAGGCTGAGGCAGAAGGATTGCTATGAGTTCAAGGCCAGCCTGCACTAAAACATAGTTCAAGCCCAACCTAGACCAATAGCAAGGCCCTGTCTCCAAAAAAAAATAAATGAGTGAGGGGCTAGGAGTGTCCCTCAGTGGAAGAGCACATTGTTTAGCATTTGCAACACCCTAGGGTCACCCAAAAAGAAAAAAAAGATGATGCTTACATTGAAGCTGAATAACAATTAAAGGGTAATGTACCTGTAGTCCCAGCTATTCAGGAGGCTGAGGCAGGAAGATCACCTGCCCAGGAGTTCAAGTCCAGCATAGGCAAGGTAGTGAGACTGTATCCATTAAAACAAAAAGCAGTAAATGATGTCAGGTGTGATGGCACAAGCCTGTAATCCCAGCACTTGGGAGGCTGAGGCAGGAGGATTGCTGCAAGTTTGAAGCCAGCCTGGCTACATAAGGAATTCAAGGCCAGCCTGGACTACACAGCGAGACCCTGTCTCAAAAGGAAAAAAAAAAAAGGTAACAGTCACACTCAAAGGGAATGGAAACTAGGACAGAGAAGTCAAGTAACTTGCTGGAGGTCACACAGCGTATAAATGACAAGGATGAGATTCGATCCTCAGTCTGGTCCTGGAGCCTGGTGATCATGGAGGAGTAGAAAGCAGCACTGCCCTGCCTTGGGAGTACCCAGATGTGTGTTTTGTTTTTCCACTTCCCACAGGAACCTGGTCCTCTGCCTTTCCTTCCCTGCTGGGCCTGAGGCTGCTCGGTGCCCAAGACTTTCCTGACTTCTGATTTCAGCCCGGACCGCTGAGCCTGCCTCACCGATATTATTTTATTTGGTTCTCAGACCGACAGAGGCTGGAAAGGACCAGAAGCAGGGGTTGTTCGCTCAGCCAGGGAGGAGAGATCTTTCTTTCCATGACCCTTGCTGGAGCTCTGAAAATCCCAAGTACAGGGAACAGAGTTTGGCCTCAGGACAACCTCCAGAAGCAATTTAAGAAGCTAGTGGTGTCTATAATACTAGCACTCAGGAGGCTGAGGCAGGAGGATTGCTGTGAGTTCAAGGCCAGCCTGGGCTACACAGTGAGATCCTGTCTCAAACCCTCCCCTGCTCAAAAAAGAAAGAAGCAACTGAAGATACTGAAGTGGAGATCTCATAGTTTTCATGTGTGCTTCATTATGCTTTTTGGGGGACTTCGTCTTTATTCAGGTCCAGTACAGCTGGTGTCCCTGGCTGACTTCCTAACACTTGAACACCGATGTTTAGTTTATAGTTAAGGAATTGCAGGCCGGACTGTGAGAGCTGTCATTTAGCATATCCATCTATGTAGCCTGAACTCTTTTTTTTTTTTCTCCCTTTCCTGTGCTAGGGTTGAACCCAGGGGCCTCTTGCATGCTGAGTAAACCTTCTCCCACTGAGCCACACCCCAGCCCTTTCCATTTTTAAATTTTGAGACAGGGTTTCACTAAATTGTCCAAGCTGGCCTCGAACTTGCAATCTTCCTGCCTGTACTTGGGATTACAGGCCTGTGCCACTGTGAGCAGTGGGACCCCCCTCCCTCTGGTGGGTCTGTCTCCTCTGTTTTCCAAGCCCCATCTCAGCAAGGAGCCCTTGGGGTTCCCTCCTGGGCCTCCTCCTGGCCCCCGGGCGCTGTGGGTGAGGGAACTCCTGTGCCCTCAGGATGCCAAGAGATGTCACAACCCAGAGCCCAAAAGCACAGGGCCCCAGGCTGGGCAGAGTCTGGGCGTCTCCCTGGTGTGCTGAGTGGTTAAACTGGCCGGGTTGCCCAGATGCGCTGATTAGAATTCAACCCAGTTTGTGTCCACACCCAGCGCAGCTATTCAAATACTTGACCCCAGCTCAGCCGGCGCCCTAAGCACAGCAGGAGGGGGAGGGGCGAGAGAAGAGACTGTGCTGGGGTTGGGGAAGAGAAAGGATCGAGCCAGGCACGTGGGAGGCTGAGGCAGGAGGATTGTCAAGAGTGGGAGGCCAGCCTGAGCTACATAGCAAGACCCTGTCTCAGAGACAGAGAGAGTGAGAGAGGCAGAGATACAGAGAGACGGGGGTTGGGGGTGGGGTGGGGGGACTGAGGTACACTCTGTGCCCTACTTTGGACCCAGCACAAATGTCTCTGCCTGTTTAACAACCACCCCTGCCAGATGATTCAAAGAATCTAAGTACCTGGAAGCTGTGGGGTATGGCGGTAATCCCTGCTACTTGGGAGGCTGAGGCAGGAGGAGCGAAAGTTCAAGACCAGCCTGAGCAACTAAGTGATAGCATGTCTTGAAAGTAAAAGGGGCTGTGGAGGTAACTCAGTCATAGAGCGCCCCTGGGTTCAATCTCCAGTACTTAAAAAGAGAAAAAGAAAAAACCTAACCAAAGGGCTAGGTACTGTGTCCATTGAGCAGTCACTCAATACATGGTTATCATTACCAACATCATTATACTAAAAAAAAAAAAAAAAATCCTTCTGTTACAAAGTGAGGTTTTGGAATAAAAACATGATGTGAAAAAAAATTATTTTGTCAGTGCATTTAAGCCTCAGGCCTGCAATTCAGCTCTCCCTGGAGTCCAATTATTGTGGTTTCTCCAAAGCTGACTCTCCAGAGAGAAGCAGAATAAGCAAGCACCCAAAAGCAAAGGCGAATGGAGACAGCGCCATGGGACAGGGCCATCTGCAGGGACCTGCAAGGGCCACGTCCCCACTGTGTGCTGGTCACGATCAGCCCACCGAGCCATCTTGGTGCTTTTCTGTCTTTCCAGACCAGCCGGAGGCAGGCCGGCTTGAGGTGCAACTGCACAGACGCCATCTGGCTGTGGCTAGCTCTGCAGGCAGGCGCTGTGAGGTCCTCTGCATGCCACAGGCCCTGGGGTCACTTCCTGTCCCTGAGGACAGCAGTTGGAGTGGCCTGGACGGGCCAGAGCTGCTGGGGAGGAGGCGTAACACAGCCACCCAGGGCCGCCAGGCTTCTCCTGGGGACCGTGGGCTTGGCTTTGGGATCCCTATGCCATTTCATGTAGGAAATGAACAACAATAAATGGGGATGTGTGGGCCGAGAAAGAGCACAAGATGGTAGGAGGGAATTAGATTAATTAGCTAAGGGGAGACATGGGGGTGATTATTAGCTGGGTGCTTGTTCCGTTTAGGCACAAGCAGATGCCTGGTTTTGTTAATATTTACAAATGACTCATCTGCTTTCCTCTGCCGCAGTCCCAGAATCTGTGTGCTACGCGGATGACATGGCCCTGCCTTTTCTACTCTCTGGCAAAATGAATTTGTCTTCCTCCTGCTGCACCAGTTTGTCTGCCTCCTCAGGATGCCAGGCAGTTCTGGGTCCCTCTGCCCACCATCTCTGAGCCCACCCACGCCTCCCTCAGGCTCAGGCCCCACAGGACTGGCAGACGTTTCCCCGCCCAGCACCCCATCCTGGAGGTGGAACCCAGGGCCTTCGCACTGAGCATACCTCCGGCTCTTTCTATTTTTGATTTCAAAGTGGCCCAGGCTGCCCTCAAACTTGTGGTCCTTCTGCCTCGGCCTCCCAGACTGGGTTTACAGGTGTGCACTGCCGTGCCTGGCTCAGGGTGCTGTTTTGGAGTGTTAACTGATGACTTTCTTCCCCAAAATGTTCTTCCCCACAGCCTTTCTCAGGATTCAGTGAGCTGAATCTTTGTCGCCCCAATTTAGGAAGCTTCCCACAGCCGAAAGGGAGGGAGTCTTTTCCTGGCTTTCGAGCTTCGATCCTGTGGGAAGCTGAAAGGACCGGTGTGAAGACAGCTTGGGGCTTCGCAGGGGCCCCTCCAACTCCCCAAGAGACCAGGGCCCAGGCTGAGGAGGGGAGGGAGGGGAGGGCTCAGAAGCTCCAGTCTTCCAGGCCCTGTGTGAGCCCTTATACCTGGAGCAGGTGTTTTGGGGTGGGT